AGAAGAAGTAGGCATCAAGATGGTATGCTTCAGGCTTTTGACTGGATATATTGTTGAAGATGTAGAATCAATTGGACCTAGGATGGTATGCTTTTCTATCTCATTTCTTTTTTGTCCATGTATTATTGTTTGTTACAAGAGCATAAGTTATTATCTAGATTGTGATTTCCCGATGGTTCTTTCTCATATGCAATTGTTATGCAACTGAAACTCTTGATATGCCAATGTAAGCCTTGTTCGCTCTGAGTGCCAAATCTTTGGTGAATGAAAGTGATAATCTATATATCCATAAGAGTGTTGTGACTAAAAGATTTACTAATTATTATATATTGTGTTTGCTTTTATCTAAAATATGTGGCCTCACAAGCAAATGAAAGATTATTTACTAATGGAAAAAGAGTTCGTCGAGAACCAGGAGGGATTGAAGCCTTGGGAAGAGAAGATTGAGGAGGATAGATCCAAGGTCGACGATTTGCGTGGGTCAATGATGAGTCTCTACTCTTACTTCACTCTGTACTCTCCGTCTTTAGAGTTTCTCCCTCTAGATTCTAGTCCCGTCATTTCTCTCTTAAAATCACTAAAATGGTTTTTCCCTCCTTAGATGTGTACACAAAAATTTGATGTGAAATCCCTTAACGAGTTTCTCTCTGGCAAATCATCCAGTACGGAGTCGCATCTCATTATTGTTATTTCTATATGTTTTATTATGTAAATTATAGTAACCAACAAATTATTGTTTTTATAATTCATAGCAATGATTTAACGAGAATATATATTTGGCGATTTTCATATTTTTGGTTTAATTATGCAAATTGTAGGGATCAATTGATGAAAGATCATATTAAGGTGTATGTGGCTATTTTGGAGAAGTAGAGTGGTGATGTGTACCCTATTGCCAGTCAGTGGTATGAGAGTTCCTTGAAGCTCGTAGCCATGTAATTCATTCCATTGTAATTTTGACTTTTTCTTCTTGTTATTTATTAATTCTTTGGGATGCAGGATTAGCTTATCAGGAGAACAGTTATGAACTGATAATTTAACCTCTCAAGAGCAAAGTATTGCTAAAGCGAACCTAGGCCCTTTTACAATTTGGTAGTTTGAGGGTTGATTAAATTTAGGGACAAAAGCCATAAATCATCACTGTTTGCCTATTGAAGAAGCTAATGCATTTATTTCACTATTAGCTTATTTCTCATGCATTAAAAAAAAAAATAAAAATAAATAATATATATATATATA